GGCCACAGCACGGACAGACACCCCCACACACACGCCTCCCCCCCGGCCACAGCACAGACGGACAGACAGACACCCCAAAAACGCCTCCCCCCCAGCAGCAGTATGGACAGACACTCCCCCCCGTCCCCGGAATCAGCCACAGAGGAACAGACACAGACCCCCCCCACTCCAGAAAGGCACACGGGGACGGACAGACGGACCCCGGTCAGGGGGACCCCTCACCCGCGTGTTGTTGCGCTCAGCTTTCAGCTCCAAAATCTCCTCCTCCCGCTCCAGCAACTGCTCCCGGCAGGCGTTCAGCTCCTTGGTCAGCGCCGCAAACTCCTGGGGGGGGGACGGGGGGGGGGGACAGGACACACACACCCCCGCAGTTAAAAGCGGCTTGGCAAAATTCCAGCTGCACTTTATCCCGGGCCCACAGGGAGCCTCCCGCCCGCCCCGTCCCCACTGGGAATCCCCCCCAACCCCACCTCTGCGCCCGCCTCCCCCCCCCCCAGCACAGCCCCTGCCTCGCCCCCGGGCCCAGGAATCTGATCAGCCCCATAACTGTGGGGAACAGTTCAGGGACCGAGGTGGTTGCGGGGGGGGGGGGGAAGGAAGGATCCCGCAAGTGCGTGCGCGGGCGGGATCCCGCAGGTCTCGAACCCAGCTCCACCCCGACACGCCCATCCTCCTCCAGCTCCCGGTCGTCCCCCCCCCGGAGACAACTCGCCAGCTTCCTTTAACGACCCGTCGCCTCGTTTGCTACAGAACCGGATTGAGATGGGAGGTGCGACGGAGCTGGGACAAGCGACCGCACCCCTGGGATCAGGAGTCACCTGGAGGGTGCCGGCATGGGGGGCACACGGGATCAGCTACCGCCAGACCCTCCCAGGGCCGGCAAGGCAGACCCGGGCGCCCAAGGGACCGTTGGAGGCTCGGCTGATGTGGCCGAGGAGTTTGCGAGTGGACGGGTCGGATCTAAAGCCAGGGGGAAAACGGACACTCGCCGCGTTCCCGCGGATCCTCGGCATCCCACCGGCAGAGACAGAACCAGCTGATGCCAAGCCAGGAGAATCAGAGGAAATGGAGCCGCCCCGGCAGGGACCCGCGGCGAATACTGCCCTGATATTCACCCAGCCAGGCCTGCGGGCGGATCAGAGCAGGTGACAGACGGAGAACGGCGCTGAGGACCCGCGGTGGCCGGTGTCAGTAGGTCCTGATGCCGTTTGGCCGAGCGGCCGCCCCGGCCACTTCCCAACGTAGCCCCGGGGATGCGTTACGGGATGGCTCGGCCTGGCCTGCTGCGGCCTAGCACAAGGTCACCCCTGTTTCTTCTGACCCCCCCGAGCAGCTCGTTCCACGTCAGGACAGTCCGAGAGAGACCAAAATCAACTCACCGGGGCCTTTACGCTGAATTCGGAAAACGCGCCTGCTTTCAAACCCTCAAAGCCAACTCGTCACCGAAACAGCCCTCGACGGGGCCCAGGGTCTTACCGACCCCAAAGATTTAGAGAACCCGCCCAAGGCCAGAGCAGCGACCCCTTCAGCGCGCCGCGTTCTTCCCACGGGTCAGCTTTGTCAGCTCCGCCGTCCCGGAGTGAGATGTGCCCAAGCCGCCACCTGCTCGTGAACTTAGCGCCGCCGTCCGACGGGGTTTCTTCTCTTTAACCTGGTCTACGCCCGCCCCTGGGAGTGACCCCTTAGCGGGCCGGGCCCCACGGACCCACACAGTCCCACCGGGACAGGCCCGTCGGCACCAGCGCCCCCCCATCTCTTTCTGCGGCTCCCTGCAGTCCAGATAGACCCTGCGCCAGGCTCCCGGGGGAATTCACAGCAGCACCGGTGGCCTTTGCTGAACAAGGTGCCCGCGGATGAGTCCCCCGAGCACAGACTCGGCCTGGCCACGGGCTGGCACCGGGAGGCAGAGTCTGACCCGTGATCCAGCACCGTGATGGGCCAGGCCAAGCTGGGACGGCCTCCGGGTCCCTCTCTGTCCCCGCCTTTGTCTGCCAGGTCCAGGCGCCTCCGAAATGGGCGCCCCGCATCCAGTCCCCGAGCCCCGGTTCTCCAGCTCCGTTCCCAGGTCCTGCCCGCCGGGTGCATCTCTGTCTCGCTGGCCTGTGTTGGTTTGGATTTGAGCCACCCCGCCGGCCTGTGTTAACCCTTTTGCACCCCGCTTGGGGGGGGGAATGGCAACGCAACACAACACATGGAGGGAAACTGAGGCACGCTTAGGTGTCACACAAACATTACAGGAAACTGCTGATCCGTCACAGCCTCTCCTCCACGGGCCGCTCTCAGCCCAGTGGCCAGCGGAGCGCGGGAGCAGCTCCACCGCCTGCCAGTCCTCACAACACGACGCAGCTGCCGCCTCCCTGGCTGTCCCCCCCACCAGCGTTACCAGCATCCTCCGCCAGCCTGGCGGTGTGGGACCGGGTCCCACCCATCCAGGGGCACAGGGGCCATCTCAAAAAACCAAAGCTGGGTGATTAAAAGCCAGGCAAGACCCGCGTCGCTCACCAGGTCCCCGTCCCCACAGGGGCGGACGTCCCCTCCAACCCGGGCACCGGCTCCCTAGAGAATCTGATGACAGATCAACCCCTTCCCCGCCCAGGGCCCAACCCCCAGATGGGATGGGCACATCGTCCGGGGGTGGTGGTGGTGTCCAGAACCGAGGAAGGCAAACGCCAGCCCGAGGGGGGGGTATGGGCGTGACCCCACAGGGCTCTCGTCCAACGGCTGTTTCCGGCTTCCAGGTCGCTAACCACTAGACCCTGCCGCTTACGTCCCGGCCCCGACAGCGGTGAAGGGGGGCGGAGCTGTGGAGTCGCTGGCACGGCTGGGGGGGGACAGGGCAGCATTACCGCCCAAGCTCTGCCCGCATCTGCCCTAGTGCAGACACGATTCTGCCGCCGCGGGAGCTTGCCCAGCTGGTGGGCGGGGCTGGTCTACGCTGCGCCAGTCAACCTCTGCCGGTGCCCCTCACTCCCAACCTGCAGCCCCCTGCCAGCCCAGCCCTGGGCTCCCCCCAGGTTTGCCGGTGCCCCTCCCTCCCGCCCCGCAGCCCCCCGCCGGGTGCTGACCTGGGGCAGGGCGATGCTCAGCTGTCTCTGCAGCGACTCCTTCTCGTGGGCCAGCTCGCGGAGCCGGAGCTGGGCCGTGCCCAGGCTGTCCTGCGTGTCCCGCAGCGTCTCCAGCAGCCGCTCCCGCTCCGTCAGCATGTTGACCATCAGCTGCTCGAAGTTGGCGTCCTCCGGCCCGTAGGCCGAGCCCCGGCGGCTGTCCTCGCTGATGGTGGGCATCACTTCGCACATCATCCTGCCGGGGGGGGGCGGGGCAGGCCCCGGGGGGCGCCGCGGGGGAGTGGGCGGGGGGCTCAGTGCCCCGACCTACCGGGGGTGGGAGCGATGGAGAGAGAAAGAATGAGACAGAACTCGGATGCCTGGGTTCTATCCCAGCGCTGGGAGGGGAGTGGGGACTAGTGGTTAGAGCTGGAA